GCTAGGGTCAGGTCACCTGGTCATCCATGTTCTTCAGAACATTCCTAGTCTCGAAAGGGGCGTGGGTTCGAATCCCACTCTTGTCATAACTTTTTTCTTCCCTCTACATCCATACAACTCGTTCCTCTCCCTCACTCTTTTGTTTTTCTTTTGTCCATTTCCCTCCTTACTCCTGTCACTTCCAATTCGATAGCAATACTACATGACCCCTATGTCCATTAGCCTGATATCCAACTATCAGGCTGTCCATGTCCTTACGAACGGTGCCCTTTCTCTCGCATCGCCGGTTCGCACCGGCATTGGACAATGATGGACGGGTATCTTCTTTTAACTCACACGCCAGCGGATCATGACAGCTTGTAGGCTCGTGCAGTCATGGAAGTGGTCATTGGTGGCATTCGTTACGCGCCCTTTCAATTCGGAACGAATATTTACGGGGGCCACTGCAAAGGATGTTGCCGAGACCTCCAAAGACCAACAATTCATATCTCACTAGATCAATAGATTACGAGCGCGCTGACAGAGGTTTGCGGGGAACAGGGTATCATTTTATGATCGCAGCCCCAACTAGCTAAGCACAAAAAGCCGGAACCCAAAGGTAACGGAGATACAAATATGCTCGTTTAGTGAGCCCTAGAAACGCAAGAAGAGACAAAGTAGCGTGAGAAGAAGAGAAAGAAGATAAAAAAAACGATAAAAAATAAAGAAAATACATTGATGCCCACCCACCCAACCCCTGAAGAGGCGAGGAGAATGCAAGACGAAAACGGCAGAGTATAGGAAATACAGAGATGCCCACCCGCCCAGCCCTAAAAGGAGAGAGGAGAATGCAAGAAAAACGTAGGAAGATACAAAGATGCCCGCCCACCCAACCCTATAGGAAATGAACAGAACGCCTGCAAAACGCAAGAGGAAACAATAGAAAAAACAAAGATGCCCACCCACCCGACCCGGGAAAAGAGAACAGAACGCCCACAACGCAGCTCTAAATACAGCAGACACTCGACATAGGCAAGGAAAAAACGCCAGCAAAACATAAGGACAAAATCAAAGATGCCCACCCACCCGACCCGGAAGTAGGAAAACAAAACGCCCACAACGCAGCTCTAGATACAGTAGAGTCTCGACACACGCAAAGAACCGAACGCCAAGCAACGCAGCTCTACTTACAATAGAGACTCAACACATGCAAGGAAAAGGCAAGAAGCAAGCAAGCACTATATACAACAGAATCTCGACACATGCAAGGAAGAGGCAAGAAGCAAGCAAGCACTATATACAACAGAATCTCGAAACATGCAAGGAAATAAACGCCTGCAAGAAAAGCAGCTCTATGTACAACAGAGGCTCCACACATGCAAGGAGAATGAACGCCAGAAAGCAATACAGCTTTAGTTACAGCAGAGACTCAACACATGCAACGAACAAACGACAAGCAACGCAGCTCTATGTACAAGAGATATCTCAACACAGGCGAATGAAAGGAAAAGCAACGCGGCTTTATATACAATAGTGTCTCAGCACATGCAAAGAAAAAAAAGCAAGAAGCAAGCACTATATACAACAGAATCTCGACACATGCAAGGAAATAATCGCCAAGAAGCAAAGCAGCTTTATGTACAATAGAGTCTCGACACATGCAAAGAGAAGCAAGGAGCAAGCAAGCTGACGAGCAGGCAAGTCAGCAAGCAAGCATTATATACAACAGATCCTCAACACATGCAAGAAAAATGAACGCCAAATGCCAATAGCCGAAAAAAAAGTAAAACGAACGCCCAATGCCAATCGCCAAAGACAAAGGAAAGACAAAGGAAACCCCCCAACCACCGCCCCCCGGATCCCCCGACGAACAACCCCCGCGAACCGTTTCCGACCCAAATTCCATCGATCGCCTCTGTCGCGTCCCCGGAATACCGTGGCCCTACCGACACCCCTTGCCCGCCGGCTAGCTGCTGACATACTGACCGTGTATGTCGTCGCTCGGGCATCCTTTGAACCGCCGGCCAGATCGATACCCGGTAAGCGTGGATGACAAGTTCACCAAGCTTTGCTGCCCACACAAAGCCCAGATCCGCCGCCAACCTTGAACGCTATCAGGTCGATTGCCTCTGTCATTCTCGGAGATGCCTCTGCTCAGACACCCGGGGCACCGGAAACTAGTGTCGCAGCGGGGTCGGAAATGCCGGCGGCTCGTAAGCACCCGAGGGTTAGCCGGTACGAATCGATGTTGGTGAATCTGTCGCCGGCTCGATCATTCGTGGATGGCGTTCAATGTCGTCTCTCGCTCGGACCTGTGACCTGGCCATCAGCAGTAAAGGGCCCCGACCTGGCTCCAGCACAGCCAAGTCGGGGGCAATGGATAAATATACAAAAATAAAATATACAGGAAAACGAAAGTGTTCAAGGAAAAGCCTGCAACAAGGAGAAAAGAAAGGGGAAAAAGACTAGTTACCAACAGCAACGGTGGATATCGCGCGCTTTGATAATCCACCGATTAACGGTAATGACTGTGGTGACCTCGCTAAACTGGACACTCTTCACCGACTTACCCTTGCGAGCCGCGGACTTCGCAGCCGAAGCTGCTCCATCCTCGGTGGACGCAAGGGCTGCATCGGATCGAGCCCTGGCCTCGCGGGATCGGTGATACGCCTCCCGCAACGCCTGAAGGCGAGACGGGCGACTAGCACCAGAAGGAGTGGACGTGGTCCGAGGAGCCACAGGAGAAGGAATGGACGTGGTCCGAAGATCCACGGGGGAACGAGTGGATGGGTGCTTTTCGTCGAACCTTTTCAGGAACGACACACCCGCGGAAAGGGGACGGGGAGAGGGAATGGACGTGGCCTGAGCCACAGAAGGAGAGGACGTGGTCCGAGGAGCCACAGGGGAACGAGAGGAAGGGGTGGGGATAGATGAACGAGTGGACGTGGCCTTGGGAGCCACAGAAGAACGAGAGGCAGGGGCGGGGATGGAAGAACGAGTGTGGGTTGGGTGTTTCTCGTCGAACCTTTTCAGGAACGACGCACCCGCGGAAAGGGAAGAGGAAGAGGGAGAGGACGTGGTCCGAGGAGCCACAGGAGAACGAGAGGAAGGGAGGGGAATAGAAGAACGAGAGGACGTGGTCCGAGGAGCCACAGAAGGAGAAGAACGAGGGGAAGTGGCGCTATGGCCGTTGGCACTAGTCTTTTGGGGGGCGGAAGGAGAGGACGTGGTCCGAGGAGCCACAGGGGAACGAGCGATAGGGACGGGGATAGAACGAGTGGAAGTTGGGTGTTTCTCGTCGAACCTTTTCAGGAACGACGCACCCGCGGAAAGGGGACGGGGAGAGGGAGTGGACGTGGCCTTAGCCACAGGGGAACGAGGGGCAGGGGTGGGAATGGAGGAACGAGAGACGGGGGTGGGAATGGAAGAATGAGAGGACGTGGTCCGAGGAGCCACAGGGGAGGGAGTGGACAAGTGCTTGCTTGTACGCAAGTACTTGGAGGCAGTGGGGGCAGGCACCCCAGAACGAGAGGACGTGCTCACCATGGTGGGCACAGACGGAGCGGAACGAACAGAAGGACGTGCTGAATCCTTCTGACCGCTGGGGGGGAGAGAGGAGGAAGAGGAGGGGGAGGACTGAGGAACACGCAGACGGGCCATCTGGTGTCCTCGACGAGAAGAAAAAGAAGATTCCATGCTGAGGGGGGGAGAGGAGAGAAGCAAGACGGATAAGACAACAGAATAAGTGTGAACTGTTTGCACAGGAAGAAAAAAGTTGAACCAAGAGTGGTATGGGGAGAAGAAAAGGAAGAAGAGAGGATATCAAGGGAACGAGAAGAAGATATAACAGACTGAGAAGATTGAACAGGAAAGAGCATTGTAGGGAAGGAAGCAGGAACATCATGAAGCTGAAGGAGGAGTGTCTGTAGCTCTTTCCCCGAATACCTTGAGATGGGGTGACGGAGCCGTTAGGTTGGTGGTGGAATAATCAAATTGTCTAGTAAATCCGGTATTTATTCATCTATACGACCTTTCATATAATTCAGATGTCTCCAAGTGCATCATTTCTCCAAGGGAAATCCATATCCAACCAAGAAAGCAGGCTCGTCAATGCTGTGGTGCTGGTAGCTACAGACACCATTAGCGATCCATTCATATAAAACAGGAAAGAACATACCTAAGAACTCCCACAGCACCAGGTTCCAGCATCATGGACAACGGAAACTCCATCGGATAGCCCAACCAGCGCTTGGTAAACGCCCGGAGCGTATGGCCATGCGCAATGAGGACAACATCGGAGGGCGCCTCTCCGTGCATGTTTCCCCGATGAAGAGCTCTGATCTCTTCGATCAAGCTATCAATTCGGGCCGTAACATCCGCAGGTGATCTAAGCTGTTAGCCTCTCCAACAGAAAAGAACCGGATCTAACATGGTTATAGGAATGACTTACTCTCCCTCCTCACATCCATCCCTCCAGATATCCCACGCCCTATCACCATCGAGGCCATGTTCCTTCCTCAGCGCGCGAATCTCCTTGGTCAACATCCCCTCATACAAGCCATAACCCCACTCTGCCAGCCTTTCCGTCTCCTCCACCTTGCCAGCTTCCTTCAGACCCTGCTTCTCGGTCTCTCCGAAGGCCAAGTCAAAGGTGTGCTTTGCCCTTTGGCGCGGAGACACATACACACGAGCCAGTTTAGCTGTGTCAATAAGCTTACCAGCTCCTACGAGGATCTTGCCGGAAGCGGTCACTTGCTTCACTCCGTCGTCGGTTAGCTGGATTTCGCTGATGCCGGTGTAGCGGCCGCTTTTGGACCATTCGGTCTCTCCTGTGGGATTCTTAGTGGGGTCTCATGATATTGTTGGATAGTGGGGATAGAGGTACCATGGCGGTAGAGGAAAACACGGGGCGTTCCGGCGTCTTTGTCGGGCATGGGGTTGGTGATGACGTAGCTGTAAGACTGGGATTGATCTAAGGGGAGATGGACTATGACCAGGGTAGTAGTAGTGGTAGTATCTGGTCTGGGGGAATGGCCAGATTGAGCGAGGGGAACGCGGGGAGAAAGAGAATTTTATTTAGGTAATGTTCTTGATGTGGGTTCGCGGTTCACCGGAGCTAAGATTGGGTTTGGGGTCAGATTTCCCTTCGTAGGGTTTACTGCACGATCACGCGGGATGTTCAGCCATTGCACATGAAGAAAATACGGATGACGGTTCTGTCTTCAGACAGTCTATTGGTTTGTCTATGTGAGTTTCCTGAGCTTATTAGCTTTTCGAATGCCATTCAATTCTAGTAATTTAATCTCCAAGGAAAGTGGGGTGGCGGGGGCAAAAACCATATTGATAACATTCAGACATTCGCGATAAGAGCCTTATCGTTTGTTGATCTCATATCGGCATTCGGCAGATGCGGGCTGGAAGGCACGTGCTCAGAGGAGCCGCTGTCACTGGCCTGAGGCTTTAAGGCAGCAGATATTGATGCCTGATGCTTTCATACTACTCATGCCAATCTCACAAGAAATCGAATACACAGCACCTATTGCTTCTTATTCTGATGCTTGTCTTTGGGTTGGGTATGCTAGTATACTTAGTGTCCATACGACACACTATGAACTATTTTTATTCGTCAACATCCAAATGGTACGTATCTTCTCATTTGAAGGCGACACTGCTAGCTGTGGACTATGGCATACCGACAATCAGTGCCAGTCAGTTATCAAGCAGCCGTCCAATGTAGCAGACCGTACACCGAAGTGCCATGACCTTACAAAAGTAGCCTAGGACCACCAGCATAGAACTCGTTATAGAGGCTCACACATACAGTCAGCACTATGACCCTGTGGCTGTGCATGGCACATGCACTGCGCCCCGAATCCTTCCTTCCCACTCACCCAGTTAGTTACACACAAGGCTGTCCCAGGCAACACCATTCCCCAGAATTGTAGATAATACTCCCATAACGCCTCATTAAGTTGATCAATAACCCAGAGAAAAAGAGAAGAAGCAAAGCCTCTTACTTTACCAATAACACAAATCACCTCAATATGGGTCTTCCCCCACCAACCGAACCAACTCCTCCTTATGAAGAAACGGAATCGACTAGCCGCCATAATCACACCGTAAATTTCCCTAATGCCTTTGTACTGATACTCAGTGATGAAGTACAGTATACTAACAAATCACAAACACACAGTACTCCACTCTCACTCAAGCCATCGATGACCCCGAAATCCAACTCCCATCATTTCACAAACATGATCATGGCGATGGGCCTACCACGTCCTTGATTCCAGGCGCTACCCCTCAAGAGCACTCACACTGCGAAGTGTGCGAGCGGATTATAAATCGGCGAGAGAGACGACAAGCCCATGCAGACTGCTGTCGGATAGTGGCCATGGTATTTGTCGTCATGTTTGTGTGTATGATGATACTGGGGATAGTTATAGCCAAGGCGGCATCGAAACGGAAATGATGGGCACTCTGTCTTCATTTCAGAGGAGTATATAAGCGTATATACTGGAGGAATGATCCTTGGGTTGTTGTTGTACAAACAGGACGAAGTGATATCTAGTAGAGAGGAGCTTCGCTGGGTTGTGAATTTCCATTTCTACGCTGCCTGTTCGGTGTTGGTAGAGAGTAGATGTAAGAGAAATCCATTTATGCTGAAGTGGTTCTCATCGATATGCTAGTAAGATATATGAATTGGAAGTGTGTCTAGGAATATCGTGTAGAATGAAGCAGAATCTTGTCTCCAAAATAGAAGAGTCGCTTCGATGTGGTGTGTGCTGTACGCCATCACTATCCTCCTAACTCTACCCACTCCAATTTCAGAATGCTCCCCAGATTGCCGGACAGGTAACCTATACGCATAGATCCTATCGTTTAATTACATGAAGGTTTTAGTAATCTTCTGTTACTTAGTGATTGAGACTACCATCAGCGACGAGTTCCTTCCTCCGTCGCCCACGTGGCTCAAACAGGCAAATATTTTAATCAACGTGTTCGTACCCAGGTCTATTATGACTGCCAAGCGTCCCACAGGGCGTGTCAGGAGCCCCTTATATTAGCTTATACCCGATGGGAGGGAGACGTTATTCGCTTTCGTCTGAGGACTACCCGCCGGTTAGACAGTGGCATGCTTCTGACATGTCTTGCTATCCTCGACTGCCCCTGAACAATCTTGAGAACCAGCTTCGCTAATTAATTAGTGATTCTAGAGCTCCCTATCAGTTTCGACAAATATTTTCGAACCCCCGTCTATCTTTATCATCTACTCATCAGCTTCAGCGTCCAACGCAAACGCCGGGCTATTCCTCGTCGTATTTCTCGCGGTCAGCACATTTGTGACTATGGTTCGACAATACTCCCAAACGCAACTGCTGCGCTACGCAAGACGATATAAAGGCAATCTAGTGAGCGCTCAAGTTGGAATATTTACTCTGATGAAGGTGTTACCTGAAGTATCACCAGCGAGGTTTGCGTGGTGCTTGGCTTTTAAGAGAATTTCAATTGAATACCAATCGCTTATTGCAGCCTCCGTTCAAGAAGTGGGGAAAGCCTGACCCCAATGGCATGTAGTCGACTTCGCAACGGTCGATATTCAAGGGAAATGGGCCAGTCACCTCCAAAGTTCGTTGACGCATCTTCTGGGCCCCCTGGGCCGACAGAGGAACAACTCGATGTGCACTACAAACGCAGTCGGCCCTGCGATATGGCCAGAAGACTTAGGGATGTTATGGCTACACTCCGTGGACGCACTTACCACGGACTGAAGAATATCAGAATTGACCCTGCCACACGACCGGACAGACCGGCAGCTGACTTCTTCGTTAATGCGCCCAAGAACGCCCGAATGGAGTACAAGGTGCCTATTGTTATTGGCTGATCGCAGATCCCCTACTTGATGGTACCGTGGTCATACATGCCTGACCAACCAGGCTTCCAACTCAATATAATCTTAGATTCGGAGAATGCATCAATGTAGTCGCGTATCAGCAATGGACCTGTAGTGTTGCGAGCCTTGCCCGAAGTGCCGAAACCAAGGACTTGGACCAAAGCTATGCGCAAATTATCGGGTCCCAATTACCTTCTTCTAACGCCGAAGAAACCTGATTATCTACTCCTAGTCAACTCTTTCTTCGGTCACTTCAATACCGAAGGCCTTCCTCCCTTGGTCGCAGCAGTCGGACCAAAATAAGTAGATGAGTATCCTCCATTGGACCTCCACTAGAAGTTCCCTGACCGCCACCAAAAATTCATTTCTATCGCCTCGGGGACGCATACTATCCTTCCTCACGCAGTTGCTCGGGAGGTTATTCAAGGTCTCGTCCACGTCATGGAAGAAGGTGTTGTCGACGGCCTAATTCGGTCAGTGGGTGAGAGCGGACGGAACGACACACCAAAACATTTCACTATCCAAGAAAAAACAATCAGCTTTGGGAAACTTTTTGACGGAGAACATGCCGACTGGATATTACCTTCCTTTGCACCGCAACGGTCAATCCTGGACCATCTTTATATCCCCACAATCTCACCCACGGAGGTGGGATTAGCACCAACAAAGGCCTCTGTCAAGGCAAACCGATGCTAGAAATCCCATTCTACTTCGACCACATCGGCAATGCGGCAGATTTGG